AACTTTTTTATAAAGGCGGGTCTTACTATGTAGCCCAGGCTAGTCTCAAACTCCTGTGCTCACGTGGCACTCCCACCTTGGTGGCCTCCCAAAGTGCTGGGATTACAGACATGAACCACCACATCTAGCACAACATAAAAATTTTTAACAGTGACACACTTCATGTGTTACATTTTGGAGTTTAGAAATATTATTCACTGGCTGGGCACAGTGACTTACTTCTGTAATCCCAGCACTTTGGAAGGTTGAGCTGGTGGACCACCTTAGGTCAGGAGTTTGAGACCGGCCTGGCCAACGTGGCAAAACCCTGTCTCTACCAAAAATCCAAAAATTAGCCAAGCATGGTGGCAGGCGCCTGTAGCCCCAGCTATTCGGATGGCTGAGGCATGAGAATTGCTTGAGCTGAGATCATGCTACTGCACTCCAGCCTTGGTGACAGAGAGAGACTGTGGAAAGAAAGAAAGAGGGGGAGGGAGGGATGGAGGGTGGTTGTTCACCAACCATCAATAAATTTCATTAAGGAGTCATCTAGATAAGAAAGGTGTCATTTTTTTCAAAAAGATGCATTTAGTCTAATGATGCTCTATGATGTCAAATGATATGGGACATTTATTAAGCTATGTAATAAACTTAAGACTCAGTTCTGTAATATTCTTGGAGCTCTAACACATTTTTAACAAGAGTAGGAAAACCAGGGGTGTTCTTCCTTCTACAGTGCCCTAGGCGTTTTTCTGTTTCTGAGAAAACCAATCATACTACTTTGAGAAAAACATGGACGAACTTTTCAAATCCTACATTACAATGTTAAGTCAGATTATGCTAAGTTTAGAGGGTCTCAGATACTAGTTCCATACTATTAAAGAAATTCTCTTGGTTTTGTTTTTGTTTTGAGACACAGTCTCTCAGTGTTTCCCAAGGTGGAGTACAGTGGCTCAATCTCAGCTCACTGAAACCTCCATTTAAATGATTCTTCTGCCTCAGCCTCCCGAGTAGCTGGGATTACAGGTGGCTGCCACCACACCTGGCTAGTTTTTTTGTATTTTTAGTAGAAATGGGGTTTCACCATATTGGCCAGGCTGATTTCGAACTCCTGACCTCGTGATCTACCCTCCTTGGCCTCCAAAAGTGCTGGGATTACAGGCGTGAGCCACCATGCCCTGCCTTGTTTTGTGTTTTCTACTTCACACTCTGTCATGGTTGCATTAAAAAAAAAGATTTTAGTAGAGGTCTTCAAATGTTACTGTGAATGCTGATACCTCCTAATTGTAGCAGCATTAGAAATGTCTTATGTTGATAATTGTTGAACTTGCATACATGAGATTTAGTATGTTATTCTCTTTACTTCTGTGTATATTTGATACTTCCCATAATAAAATGACTTTGGGGATTTTTTATTTTTTTTGAGACAGAGTCTCGCTGTAACACCAAGCTGGAGTGCAGTCACGCAATCCTGGCTCACTGCAACTTCAGTTTTCTGGCTTGAAACAATTCTCCTGCCTCAGCCTCCCGAACAGCTGAGACAACAGGCATGCACCACTGCACCTGGCTAATTTTTTGTGTTTTTAGTAGAGATGGGGTTTCACCATGTTGGCCAGGATAGTCTTGGTCTCTTGACCTCGTGATCCACCCACCTCGGCCTCCCAAAGTGCTGGGATTACAGATGTGAGCCACCATGCCCAGCCAATTTTTGGGATTTTTAAAAAGAAAATGTTTTAGTGAAGATACTTGATTGCAAGTTTCTTTCTTTCTTTCTTCCTGGAATATGAGAACTATATCTCGTATAATACTGTTGTGTATTTCAGGGTGCCTAACATAATACTCATTCACTAAATAAACACCTGAGTTGAACTGAATATAATATTTAGTTGCTTAATTTTAAATGTAAGTTATATTTAAGTAGCAGTATATAAAGTGAAAAATGTGCTTTTTGGTGAATTCTATAAAGGTGAGAAAATGTTCTGGAATTAGATAGCGGTGGTAATTGTGCAACTCTGTGACTATACTAAAAACCATTGAATTGTATACTTTAAAAGTAAGCTGTGTAGTAGTATGTAAATTACATCTCAAATTTTTTTAAAGTTGGTGTAAAAAAATACAATGGTAAGTCATAAACTGGGCGAAGATACTTACAACACAAAACACTCATAAAAGAACTCTCATAGGCTGAGGATGGTGGCTCACACCTGTAATCATTGCACTTTGGGAGGCCAAGGCAGGTGGATCATGAGGTCAAGAGATTGAGACCATCCTGGCCAACATGGTGAAACCCCAACTCTGCTAAAATTACAAAAATTAGCTGGGCATGGTAGTGTGTACCTGTAGTCCCAGCTACCCAAGGCTGAAGCAGGAGAATTGCTTGAACACGGAAGGTGGAGGTTGCAGTGAGCCAAGATTGTGCCACTGCACTCCAACCTGGGCAACAGAGCCAGACTGTCTCAAAAAACAAAAACAACAGCAACTAATAAGGAAATATTAATGCATGAAAAAATGGAGACACCCTCATTACCCTCATGGAGCTAGCATTCTAATGGAGAGGGACCAGAAATAAGC